GATTTTTGCCCCCCCCCCCCCCCCCCCCCTTGTATTGGAATTTTTTATGGCATGGGCCTTTTTTTGAGTATATGTGACGGCGTTTGAATGGGAATTATAAAGTGTCACCAACAGGTCCCTGGAACGAGTGGATGTCGATGACTTTGACAGCCGCACTCACTTCAAGCTTGGCGCGGTCACTCGGCCATGTACCCGGCAGAAAGGGGAGGGCGTGAAAAAAAAGAGTTGGAACAAATAATGCTGTTTTTTGTATGCCGCCGGGTACTGTGGTTGTTGAAGAGGAGAGATATTTTTTTAGAAAGTACCCATCATCTCAGAAAAAGAGACTCTTTGCTCATCGCGCATTTTATCATGGGGCTTGTTTTCGTAAGAGGGCCCCGTGTTTTCGTACACATGCAACGCTTGTTCCCTCCAGATCGATCCACCCTACACCCTGTGCCGGGGTGACGATGAAAACCTTTATCAAGAGGAGTCGGTCGGTCGGGTGTTCGACGCCGTAGTACAGATAGATGTCGCTCGCAGTTAAGAACTGCAGCCTCGAAAAATTCAAAATTTAAGAACTTGGCCATAAGAACACGTGCTCAGTTCCGACGTGGTATTTAGACCGTATTTATTTGTCGTTTAACAAACAAAGCGCCTTCGGATAAGAACAGACCCCCAAAAAAGTGGCAGCTGCAAGATAAGAACTCATGAAGGTGGTGAGGGGTGACTCACGGGGTGTCTGGTGACCCCACCCACCGGTAGTTTCAGATCAGCGACGAGGAGGGGGATCTCCGTTTCAAATAATACTGGTGCGGAGGGGGGGGGGGCACGGCGTACTCTTATGTTTTGCATATCTTAGTGGTTAGACCATTGACCACGCGTCCTCGAGAGGACGGAATATTGAATATTGTTCCCACAGGACCAAAGACCGATGGTCAATCGTTCCCTCCTACTTTACCAAAAAAAGGTGTCTCAAAAATGTTTCCCTAGCCTATCAATTCTATCAAAATCACGTCCCGCCTCTTCAACCCACGGTCTGTCCCAGTACAGCTACCTAGCTGGTATTCCATGCCTCGAACATCTCCCTGTATCTTCCTTATACTTTTCCCAAGACTCAGTCACGTAAAATCTCTCCTTGTACAACAGGCATTCCGTAACTTCATGAACCCGGTGTTCGCACTCGGAGCCGTGTTCACATTTTACCTTGGTCGGTGCGGACGGGGAGGGAGGGGGGGGGGTGCTTAGCTTTGTTGTACAAGTGTACAAGGCATGCCCCTCGTCGCGTGTCATTGGGGTGCCTGCCACGCTGCGTGCCGTGAACGAGAGTCATGTCTTTACCCCTTGAACTATTGAAAGAGCTCGGCCAGCTGTCCAAGTTGAAAGGAGATGTAATTCTTGATCGACACTTAGAGGCCATCAAAGAACATGTCATTGCTGGCAACTGCCCTCGAAGTCAGACTGGGAGGCCATCGAGTCGACGCGGGGGCGACGAAAGCTTTCCGACACCTCTTCCTTCGTCGCACCCACCAGTTTTCGAATTCAAGCGTCTAAACCCGCTGCTCTTGACAGTTCGTTGCTGCATGTGGAGTACTCGTAAAACTGAGCATGGGCTGGTTTGGTGACCTGAATACTCGGCCGTCTCAGGAGCGCACCCGCCGCCTTTACGACTACCGTGTGCATTTCGAGCTACATGTGCATGTAGACCAAAGACGCGCCGCATGAATGCCGTTGGACAAGCACAGTGAAGATGCGGGTGTGGTGGTAGGGTGGTGGGCTTTGCTTGAGGGGAGCGCGCCGTTGAGCAGGGAGGAGATCCGGCATTCGAAGAGCGGGTGAATGTAGCTACGACGGGCGTTAGATAGAGCGGGGAGGGCAATCACGGCGAACGTGACCCTTGTGGACCTCTAAATGGTTCATCGTGTTTGCTCAGATGCGTCATTTTTTCAGGCGATATCGCGTCTGTAATTAACTCTACCCTATCCTGATCTGCGGTACGTCGAATCCAGAGGTCTCTGTTGAGCGACGTTCTATTAATTGATGTGCAACTCCTCGACGAGTTTCGTCGGTGTTGCCTGTCTGAAGCTTTCCTTGTTTTTTTTACGGGAAGCCGCAACTGCTCGAGCACGAACACAACAAAGACAAAGTGACTGAAGAATGAAGGCGACCAGACCGCGATGAAGACCCTGAAACAACAATGTATGGTGCCGACGATGACAAGGCCAAAGAACTAAATCCGAAGAAAACCTACGATGACAGGATACTACAATAAAGAACTAACGCGAAAGAATCGCACGAAAAAACGCCTCAAGTAGTTCTCCCCGATGGGCTGACAGGGGGAGACGGCCGGGGCGCAGGGACTCGCGGAGGGAGCGGCACCATCGGTAGCAGCACCGGCGGTGAGAGTGGTGACCCCCGGCGGCAGGGTTTTCCCCGCGGCGGCGGGGGGGGACGGCCGGGCCGCAGGCACTCGTGGCGGAGCGGCAGCATGGGCAGCAGCACCGGCCGCGAGAGGAGGGACCATCGACAGTCATGTGTTGCCCGCGCACTTGCGGCTAGAGTGGTACCATACGGCCGGGCCGCAGGCACTCGTGGCGGGAGCGGCAGCATCGGCAGCAGCACAGGTGGCGAGAGGAGGGACAACCGGCAGTCATGTGTTCTCCGCGACGCCGGCCGTCGGGATGGCCGGGGTGCAGGCACTAGCGCTAGAGCGGTACCATCGATAGCAGCACCGGCGGCGAGAGTGGTGACCCCCGGCGGCAGGGTTTTCCCCCGGCGGTGGCGGGGGAAACGGTTGTGCCGCAGGCACTTGTGGCGGGAGCGGCACCATGGGCAGCAGCACCGGTGGCGAGAGGGGGAACCACCGGCAGTCATGTGTTCCCGGCGACGCTGGCCGTCGGGACATGTGTTCCCGGCGACGCTGGCCGTCGGGACGGCCGGGGTGCAGGCACTCGCGGCTAGAGCGGTACCATACGGCCGGGCCGCAGGCACTCGTGGCGGGAGCGGCAGCATCGGCAGCAGCACAGGTGGCAAGAGGAGGGACCACCGGCAGTCATGTGTTCCTCGCGACGCCGGCCGTCGGGGCGGTCGGGGTGCAAGCACTCGCGGCTAGAGTGGTACCATCGGTAGCTGCACCGGCGGCTAGAGTGGTGACCTCCGGCGGCAGGGTTTTCCCCCGGCTGCGGCGGGGGAGACAGCCGGGCAGCAGGCTCTCGTGGTTGGAGCGGCAGCATCGGCAGCAGCACCGGCGGCCGGCCGGGACGCACCACTCGAGACTAAAGCGACGACAGGAGCGGTTACCGCGACGGTCGCGACGGAGGGTGGACTGGGCTACCGCACGCCATGAGCTAACCCGGCAGACGGCGATCCGTCAGCAGTGGTACAAGGTGACGCCTGCGGTCACGCGGTCGGGGTCTCGTCGAACCGATATCGTGGTTGGGTGTGGACGCGTGTACTGCATTATCACGTGGGGGGTAAATATTGTTTCTTGTCTCCACTCGGGTGCCGGTCGTGAACTGTTCTTTTTGGGGCCAAGGTTGAGTCACTCTTTTGCGCAGAAACGCTCTCGACAGAAGCCCGCGAGCACGAGAACGAAGCACACGCGCCGACACCCAACCACGATAATATCGGTTCGACGAGATCCTGACCCCGTGCAACCGCAGTCACCTTGTACCGCTGCTGACGGATCGCCGTCTGCCGGGTTGGCTCATGGCGTGTGGTAGCCCAGTCCACCCTCCGTCGCCACCGTCACGGCAACCGCTTCTCCTGTCGTCGCCGCTCCCATCAACGGTGCCGCCACTCCATCCACGAGTGCGTGCATCTCGGCCGGCCGCCGCCGCGGGGACAACATGACCGCTGGCGGTCCCCCCTCTTGCCGACGGTGCTGCTGCGGATGCTGCTGCTCTATCTAGCTGCGAGTGCCTGCGCCCCGGCCGTCTGCCCCTCCGCCGCCGCGAGGAAACCCTGCCGCCGGGGGTCGCCACTCTGTCAACGCTCATACACTAGTTGCTCCATTACAACTCTCGCCGCCGGTGCTGCTGCCGATATGGTACCGCTCTAGCCGCGAGTGCCTGCACCCCGGCCGTC